CTTTGGTTACGGTAAATTCGACCTAGTTTTTTCTGAGAGCAACTCTAAGGTCTGTCGGGTGGCTGGAAATGTTCTCCTGTTCATTCTGCATCTAACCATGTATGTGTCGATGGAATTCAAGCAGGGGCCGATTCCATCAAATAATCGTCCCCCGTGCTTTGCAACTTTTTTAAAGTCACTTAAAAGTCATTTTCGATCATTGAGCAAAATAGAATAGACTTTTTTCGTCAAAATAAGTTGTACGACTCGGTGCGACCTTTCTTCAATGAGTTATGCATTTTTCTCGAAAAGTACCATACGGAGAAATCCGAGCAAAAATCGTTAAAAAAAGTGCATTTTTCCATATAAAAAAAAGATGCCGGTGCATTCCGAGAAAAAATGCATAACTCACTGAAGAAAGGTCGCACCGAGTCGTACAGCGTCTTATTTTGACGAAAAAAGTCCATTCACTTTTGCTCAATGATCGAAAATGATTTTTAAATGACTTTAAAAAAGTTGAACTAAGCCTTTTTTTTTGAAATTTTAGGCTTTTAAATTATTAAAATTTCATCTTTTTTAAACCTGCTAAAGTTAAATGAAAATTTTTCTTGTTACACATTACATACTCTAAGGTGTTCTCTACACAATTCTGCTCTCGGATTTATTGTAGTTACTTTGGTGCACAAAAAAATTCCAAAAAAAAGTGATCCTAAACTTTTCTCAGCCACTTTATATAATTCGATTCAGTTTGTGACGTTGATTCTGAATATGGTATTTTTATGAAAGAAAAGGTGGGCCCTGGTGAATAAAATTGAGAATACCGGCAGAATTTCGATTTTTGAACTCCTGATCTTGAAAATATGAACTTTCTCAATGACAAAGCACGATGGAAAAGAGAGCAATGTGTACTTTTAAAGCTCGTTTAATGGGGGTTCTAATGAAGTACAAAAATCGAGAGTTTTTTGCGAAGCCATGTAACTAATCAACAGGGATGAATAGTGATTTAATGACGATTAAATCAAGTTCATGTCTGATTAGTTGCGCGCACTTATATATATAGCAGATAGTTGCTAAGTTTGTAATAAATTTCATCACTTTCTCACTTTCTTATTACATAATTTTTTTCCATAGCTCAGAAGATGGAGAATTCTTTGTATTTTTTTGTGGGTATGTTACATAATACTTTATTCTAAGTCAAACATCTCATTAAAAATTAGACTAAATTCTGCACCTTTAAAGTCTACAACGAAGGTTTAAGAGTTCCTCAGCCAGACTGAAAAAAATCAAATGTGCCAAGCTGAGTTTGACACCAAACGACCGTAATTGATATATCGGCATTTCCGCAAACGACATGAAACCTGACTGAAGTTATGTGGTGAATAATTATTATGTTATACAGTTACAGATATAGTACGTGATCAGACAGATAAGTGTATCCGGTTTAATGTCACCAACGCACCCAGATATCAGAAAAGGGATCCTCAAATTCACTGGATGAAAGTTTTAAGTTTAAACAGACCATAAATAATATTTCATTTTCTCATATTTCTTTCTTCTGGTCAAGCACTGTTACTGATATATTCGCTGAGGGCACCACTAGACATGTCCTCAACACTGCACTTTAGTGGTGCCCTCAGCGAATATCTCAGTAACAGTGCTTGACCAGAAGAAAGAAATATGAGGAAATGAAATACTATTTATGAATTCAATTGAGTCTTCTATAAAAACTGATAGGGTAAAAATGTTCAAGAATGTGTGTCGAAGTGCTGGTCAATGTGAACCAGTCACTTCTAAATCAGCTAAATCGAAGAAAAAGCCAGCTGATAATGAGTCTGAATTATTTTCATATGAAAAGTTTATTGTTCGATTTAACAAATTATATATGGGAACAGTCCATATATGGTACACTCTTCTAGGTAAGATGTGAGAAAACAAAGGCAAGCGATAAACAGAGCTCACTGTATATGATGAATATGTTAGCTAAGCGCCTATTAGAAAATTAAAAGTTAGGGGTACCTATTTCGACAGTGGGAAGTTGATTAAGGACTCTTTCAACGTGTTGAAATAAATATTTATCAACAATTATGCAACTTCTAACTTTTTTAGGTGATTTACAACGATATAGAGATGAAGTCGAATTAGTTAAAAGTGGTAAAATTGACCACATTCAAAGAACAACAGAGTCAAGTGAAAAGAGGATATGATTTGTAAAGAATGTCGAGTTGAGCAAAAGATTCACAAGAGACTGGATATTGTTATTGATACAATTCTTAACGAAACCATTGCTATGCAGAGAACTGCCGGTTTGCAAATGTATGCATCATTATCAAAGAAGTACAAAAACGCTGAATGGAACGAAAAGAAACATGGATATGTTCCAATTGTTCAATTGATGGAAAGGTAGAAGACTGAACTTCTCAATTAGTCTTAAATTATGATATTTCTTTCTTACAGAGTCTATCAAAAGCCCCAATCAAGTGATTTAAAGAGACTGGAAAATTCGTTGTTAAAGCCGAAATTAAATCTTTATATTGGTCCACTAGAATTAAAACCTTAGGAAATTAAAACTACAACATACTCATTTGGAAATGCTTTATTGCAATGTTTCGCTCTGTACAGTGATCCAAGAGAATATTAGGAAAACTAGTGCTGACATCAGCGAGCAACAGAAAGCATTAAGATCATTACTGATCCTAGGTAGTACGACGAAAATCAAGGAGAAACAGTTTGTGTTGGAACTGGCACGGAATACTAATCTCGCTGTTACTTGTGATCCATTACTGCGTAAAACGCTACATTCCACTGAAATTCAAATGCCAATGTTAAAATTCTTAAGGATATGTGTTTATCCTATTTTAACCACTAATGTCACACTAAGATCTCTATTTCATACAACTGGTCAATCCTGTCGATTTGAATCAGAAGTGCGCATGAAAGTTGATGCTGTCATTCCGAACTCAAGAAACGTTACCACCACGGAAAAATTAATCGATCGGTTGCTATTATGTATCCGGTGTCATTCAAATGAAATGCCGAAAGTAATAACAACACAATCATTGATTATCCGTAAGTGTTCCTGGCGTTGAAACAAGAAGGGCAGCAGGAAAATACAAGCTTTCGGGAAATGATCAACTTTTCACCATACACTGATGGCGAAATTATCGGTGTTCATTACAATGCCTCTTATCAGATGGCGGCTTGTGTCTATCGTGCAACATTAAACGAATTTGGTTCCATTTTTTATTGCAAGAATGAAAAGTACCATAGTATTCATCATAACAAGAAATTCATTATCGACAAAAAATCAATTTCCCGGAGCATCATCATGATACGGTAGTGCTTTTATGTATTTTTTCCTCAGATCATTCAAATAAAAAACACCGTGCTTCTTTTTCGTCGTATTTTGTGATAGAGATTCGGATTTTTCCCTATATCATCCAAATTACGAGCGCTTAAGACATCTTGTGGTAAAGTTAACAACTTTTCATTAAACATTCCAGTTGCGCTGACACTCATAGCTAATTCATCATGTAATACTTGACGCTCATCTCGACGTATTGGTCTGACGTGAAATGCAGTACTTGTGTGTATAATGGCTCCTGTGCAATCAATAATCATTTCTTCATCTTCTTTCACATAAACAATAAACTTAAAAGGACACATTTGATAGAACAAAAGTCACCGCTTGTTAACAATGGGTTTCCTCGATTACGAATAACTGATTCAGAAAACCTGTTGTTTTTGAATCGAATAGAATAGTACTTATTGATCTGTTTAATATTCTTAGCCATTACTTTGGCCACCTTGAAATCACGTTTGGTAGATTTGACTATGCTGTTTCACGCAATTGCTTTTGTTTCAAGTATTCTCAAATCCGACTGATCCACTTGAGTTTCATGATACTTTTCAATTACATACTTGAACGATTTTTTGAGGTTGACGCCAGATATACTGAATGGTGTTGATAATACGTTATTAACCCTTTCAGGACGAAAGGACCACTGACCTTCGCTACTTCATTTATTGTGCGCCCTTTTCACTCCCTCTACATTTTCAAGTAAAACTAATAACATATTTGAGATCAGCAGACAAAACTGGGCCGAACAACATACTTAACAGTCCATTTTCGAACGAAACAATTTCATTAAAAATTTTGCTCTAAGTTAGAGATGAGTGTATAATCTTTCTGACAAAAGTTTCACCTACATTTTTCGGAGCTATAGGTTTCCATGATTATTTTTGGACAATTACGATGTACGTTGAATGCAAATTCTGTAACAGAAAGAACGCCCCTTAGTTCGTCACCCGCGTCCTTCCTCGTATGTTTCAATCGTGGATGCACGTCCTCAATGAATTTCCAGAACCACACAATATTTAGCCTTCATACTTTGGCTAGATAGTCTACAAGCACTGTAGAGTCTTTGGTGCCAATTTGAAGTCGAAGTAATGCTCCTAGGCGGAATTGTGAATTTTTTTCGCAGAGAATCTCGAATTTTTCAACAAAAAAGCGCGATCGCGTAAAATAGCTGTATTTCACTGACTGCTAACGGCCAACTCACAAAATGCATTTCATTAATAGACTAGAGTCGTGGCTACATTTTTATAAAAAGAAAAAGTTTTAATCTCTAACTAATCCCGTCCTCAAATAACGTGAGGACGGGCGTTCGTTTTTTTCGTTCGAAAATGGACTGTTAAGTATGTTGTTCGGCCCAGTTTTGTCTGCT